GCTTTTGCAGAGGTGGCTCAGAATACAACAGTTATTTAGAAGCTATACGTATAAAGATACACAACATATCCCTCCAAACTGCCAATATCCCAAACCCCTCCTTTAAAGTGCAGGCATTGTACATTCCCATTCCCAGGACTCAAGTCCGACTATATGAAAAATAACCGGTTTCCCTGAATCCCTCTCATAAATATTACCCTGCTCACACTCCAACAGTTCGTCAGGTCCCCAAGTATCATTCGTTCCATTCACTCCTATCTAACCGCCACGCCACGCCGCTGGAAGTCCAAGCCCCTCGCCCTACGAACCTCCTTTACCCCCTTTTCCAACCCTTTGAGGACGACCCCTACCCCTCTTCCTTCCCCTTATTGATTTATATGCTTTCCAGGTCATTCTACTTTGATCCATTCTCTCTAAATGACTCTGCAAACCACCTCACAACCCCTCTTCTGCCCTCTTGACTTAATACTTTTATTAACTCCACCACCTTATCCTAATTTCCACACTCCGAATTTTCTGCATAATATTTACACCACAACATTGCCCTTAAACAGGACATTCTCCACTGCCTCCAAAACCGTCTCCTCGCTGCTGCATTACCACCCAAGCTTCACACCCATATATGAGTGGTTGGTACTACTATACTTTCATACATTCCCTTCTTTGCCTCCATAGTACGTTTTTTGATCCACATATACTTCAACGCACCACTCACCTTTTTTCCCTCATCATTCTATGATTCAACCTCATCCGTCATAAATCCATCGCCGACACGTCAACTCCCAAGTATCTGAAAACATTCACTTCTTCCATACTCCTCCTCCCCAATTTGAATCCAAATATTTTCTTTATCTAAAATCAATTGATACCCTCATCACCTTACTCTTTTCATGTTCACTTTCAAGCTTTCTACCTTTTACACACATTTTTCAAACTCATCCACTAAACCTTTGCATTTTTTTCTTTAAGAATCTCCCATAAGCACAGTATCACTGCAAAAAAGTGACTGTGCAATTCCCAATTTTTGAATTTGATTCCCCATAATTTAATCCACCCCCCTCTTACCGAACACCCTAGCCATTTACTTCTTTTACAACCCCATCTATTAAAATATATTAAACAACCATGGTGACATTACACATCCCTGTCTTAAGACCTACTTTTACGGGTAGTATTCTCCCTCTCTTCTCACACCATCAACCTGGGGCCTCCCTATCCTCATAAAAGCTCTTTACAGCATTTAGTAACTTACCACCTATTCCATATAAACTTGCAACATCTTGCCACATTGCTCCTCTATCCACTTATCATAGCCTTTTCTAAATCATAAATGCAATAAAAACTTCCCTACCTTTATTCTAAATACTGTCACATTATATGCTTCAATGTAAACACTTGATCTAACACATCCCCTACCCACTTCTTGAAGCCTCTAGCTCATCCGCAATTCTACTTTCTGTCTTAACTCTAATTCTTTCAATTATAACTCTACCCGTATACTTTTCCTGGTATACTCGTAAACTTATTCCTCTATAATTTTTACAATCTCTTTTGTCCCCTTTCCCTTTATATAAAGGGACTATGCATGCTCTCTGCCAATCCCTAGGTACCTTCCCCTCTTTCATACATTTATTCAACAAAAGTACCAACCACTCCAACACTATATCCCCCTGCTTTTAACACTTTCTGTTCATGATTCCCATCAGTTCCAGCTGCTTTACCCCCTTTCATTCTACGTAATGCCTCACGTACCTCCACTCACACTTACATTACGATCTTCTTCACTCCTAAAAGATGGTATACCTCCCGGACCAGTGCATGAAATTACCGCCTCCCTTTCTTCTCTCAAATTTAAGTTCCTCAAATATTCTCGCCATCTACCTAATTACCTCCCTCTCCCATTACTAACTCCCCTACTCGTTTTTAATGGAACAAAATCCAACATACTTTCCCCTAGGCGTTCTTTAAACTTGTTACACACTCCAAGTTTTTTCTTATTTTCATTAAATTTCTTGACAGTGCCTCTCCCACTCTTTCATTGCCTCTCCTTTTACACTCTCTCACACTCTCTTCACCTTTTCTTTTACTCTCCATATACTCTGCTCTTCCTTATAAACACTTCTGCTTTGTAAAAACCTTCATAAGCTACCTTTTTCTCTTTTATCACACCTTTACTTCATCATTCCACCAATCACTCCTCTTTATATATATATATTACCTGGAGTTTACCTGGAGAGAGTTCTGGGGGTCAACACGCCCCCGCGGCCGGTCTATGACCAGGCCTCCTGGTGGCTTCAGAAAGCCTGATCAACCAGGCTGGTCACTGCGGCTGCACGCAAACAAACCGACGTATGAGCCCACAGCCCGGATGATCAGGAAACCGACTTTAGGTGCTTGTTCCAGTGCAGTTGAAGACTGCCAGGGGTTGTTGGTAATCCCCCTATGTGTGTGGGAGGCAGCTGTTGAACAGTCCGGGCCCTGGACACTTATTGTATGGTCTCTTAATGTGCTAGTGACACCCCTGCTTTTCATTGGGGTGCGTGGATGTTGCATCGTCTGCAAGTCTTTTGCTTTCGTATGTACATAGTGGAGTGATTTTCGTGTGCAGTTCGGTACTGTCCCTCTAGGATTTTCCAGGTGTATATAATCATGGCTTCTCTCCCGCCTGCGTTCCAGGGAATACCAAGGTTCAGGAACCTCAAGCGCTCCCAGTAATTGATGGTGTTTTATCTCCGTTATGCGCGCCGTGAATGTTCTCTGTACATTTTCTAGGTCAGCAATTTCACCTGCCTTGAAAGGTGCTGTTAGTGTGCAGCAATATTCCAGCCTAGATAGAACAAGTGACCTGAAGAGTGTCATCATGGGCTTGGCCTCCCTCGTTTTGAAGGTTCTCATTATCCATCCTGTCATTTTTTCTAGCAGATGCGATCGATACAATGTTATGGTCCTTGAAGGTGAGATCCTCCGACATGATCACTCCCAGGTCTTTGACGTTGGTGTTTCGCTCTATTTTGTGGCCAGAATTTGTTTTGTACTCTGATGATTTAATTTCCTCATGTTTACCATATCTGAGTAATTGTTGGGTGCAGGAGCTGGAAGATTTTCCAGACAGTGGTCAATTTTTAACAGCTGTTCCTGGAATTGCTGGGATGTTGCATCCGGAGGCTTGTAGACTACCACAATGACTAGGTTTTGGTTCTCGACCTTTACTGCTAAAACTTCCACTGCATCATTTGAGGCATTAAGCAGTTCTGTGCAAACAAGTGACTCTGCAATGTACAGGCAAACCCCCCCCCCCTTTTTGCCTGTTCACTCTGTCACATCTGTATAGGTTGTAACCTGGGATCCATATTTCGTTGTCTAAGATGATCCTTTATGTGGGTCTCGTGGAAAGCGCGAACACTGCCTTGCCTCTGCAAGCAGTCCACGGATGAAAGGGAATTTTGTGGTTTGTTGCTGGCTTTAGACCTGTATATTTTGCATAGAAGAAGGGTCATCGGACTGGTGGTATTGTTGGTACTGGGGGGGGGGGGGGGATTTTTTTCCGGCATTAGTATTGTATCTGTTGGTTTGGAGTGGGGCCATCGACTGTGGTTCCACTCCAGGAAATGGACTGTGAGTTGGTGTACAAATATTATATATATATATAGATATATATATATATTTATATATATATATATATATATATATATGTGTGTGGTGTGTGTGTGTGTGTGTGTGTGTGTGTGTGTGTGTGTGTGTGTGTGTGTGTGTGTGTATGTGTCGTGTGTGTGATGTGTGTACTCACCTAGTTGTACCCACCTAGTTGAGGTTGGAGGGGATCGGTCTAGCTCCTGGCCCCGCCTCTTCACTGGTCGCTACTAGGTCACTCTTCCTGAACCGTGAGCTTTATCCCATACATCTGTGTGTGTATGTGTAGTGTGTGTGTGTGTGTGTGTGTGTGTGTTGCTGTTTGTATTGTATACTCACCTATTTGTGATTCCAGGGGCGCTTCTTAGCTCCTGGCCCGCCTCTTCACTGATTGTACTAGGTCCTCTCTCTCCCTGCTCCATGAGCTTTATCATACCTCGCCTTAAAACTTGTATGGTTCCCGACTCCACTACTTACTTTATAGGTATTCCACGGCTTGACTACTCTATGACCGAAAGAAATTCTTTCTAACATCCCTTTGAATTCATCTGAGTCTTCAACTTCCAATTGTGACCTTTGTGTTCTGTGTCCCCATCTCTGGAACATCCCGTCTTTGTCCACCTCGTCTATTCCGCGCAGTATTTTATATGTCGTTATCATGTCTCCCTGACCCTCCTGGCCTCCAGTGTCGTCAGGCCGATTTCCCTCAACCTTTCTTCGTAGGACAATCCCGTAGCTCTGGGACTAGTCTTGTTGCAAACCTTTGCACTTTCTCTAATTTCTTCACGTGCTTGACTAGGTGTGGATTCAAAACTGGTGCTGCATACTCCAGTATGGGCCTGACGTAAATGTATACAGAGTCTTGAACGACTCCTTACTGAGGTATGGGAAACGCTATCCGTAGGTTTGCCAGGCGCCCGTATGCTGCAGCAGTTATCTGATTGATGTGCGCCTCAGGAGATATGCTCGGTGTTATACTCACCCCCAGATCTTTTTTCCTTGAGTGAGGTTTGCAGACTTTGGCCATCTAAACTATATTGTGTGTGTGTGTGTGTGTGTGTGTGTGTGTGTGTGTGTGTGTGTGTGTGTGTGTGTGTGTGTGTGCGTGCGTGTGCGTGTGTGTACCTCACCTAGTTGAGGTTGCAGGGGTCGAGTCCAAGCTCCTGGCCCCGCCTCTTCACTGGTCGCTACTAGGTCACTCTCCCTGAACCGTGAGCTTTGTCATACCTCTGCTTAAAGCTATGTATGGATCCTGCTTCCACTACATCACTTCCCATTCTATTCCACTTCCTGACTACTCTGTGTGTGTTTGTGTGTGTGTGTGAAATATTCTAAAACATAACAGAAAAGTTTTATAACAAATGACTGACCACTACACACTGACTGCCTGGACTCCTTCTTGAACTTGGAGAAGTCCCCAGTACACAAACTCCGCCATGAGCCAGGAGAAGTGAGCCTCCCTGCACCCACACATTACCCTCCGAGTCCTTCATGGAAGATGCTGTAAGAGCATTCAGTGAAGAGTGGAGCACAGCATGAGGGGCGTAGCGTGCTGCGTACCACAGCAGTCTCAGCAGCAGCGTGGTGTTGCTGCCAACCCCCAGCACTGCTAACCCAGCCTGATGAAACAGAAACTTTCAATGTTGTCTTACAACATTACCATTCTGTATATAAAACGAATTAGTGAAGGGTGCAACCACCCATAATAATAATAATAATAATATATACTTGTTACTTAAACAATGAGGTACACCCATAGTGAGCATCTAACTTATTTTAAATAATTAACTTAACTGATAGTATCCAGTTTAGCAGACGACCGGTGCTAATACCCTCTAATATTGTAGAAACATCTAAAGCAGAAGGAAGTGTTGCTGGCCCTCGGCAGGTGCTCAGTAAGTGCTCGACACTCCACAAGCTTATTGCCCGAAATTAGGGATCCTCAATAGAAAGTAGACGTGTTTCGGTCACTTCACGATCAGAGAAACATATCCTCGTATTGCATAACTCCCTGCCCCCCTATACATCAATCCCTGGCCCTTGTACATCAATCCCTGGCCCCTGTACATCAATCCATGCTCCCTGTACATCCAATCTCTGCCCCCTGTACATCAATCCCTGCCCCCTGTACATCAATCTCTGTTCCCTGTACATCAATCTCTGCCCCCTGTACATCAATCCCTGCCTCCTGTACATCAAGCCCTGCCCCCTGTACATCAATCCCTGCCCCCTGTACATCAATCCCTGCACATAAATCTTTCCCCCTGTACATCAACCTCTACTCCCTGTACATCAATCCCTTCTCCTTGTACATCAATCCCTGCACATCAATCCTTCCCATGTACATCAGCCCCTACTCCCTGTACATCAATCCCTGCCCCTATACATCAATCCCTGCTCCCTGTACATCAACCCCTGCTTCCTGTACATCAATCCCTATCTCCTGTACATCAATCCCTGCCTCCTGTACATCAATCCCTGCTCCCTGTACATAAATCCTTGCTCCCTGTACATCAGTCTCTGCTCCCTGTACATCAATCTCTGCTCCCTGTACATAAATCTCTGCCCCCTGTTCATCAATACACAAAAAATAATTTAGACTGAAGCATAAGTTTTTAATACAGTTCACGAGTTCTCATATGGACACTAATATCCCAATTTCGTCAATACAAGTGATGGGTTAGGACATATACAACCAAACTTATTTCAAACCTTTCAATAAGAAGCAACAGCTTTAACCCTTAAACTGTCCAAACGTAGATCTACGTTTTTTCAACATTTGAAAGAATGTAAAAAAACGTAGATCTTCTTTTTTTTACATTTGAAAACGTGTAAAAAAAACTTTGATCTACTTTTTTTTTGTTCTATTCGAAAATATGCAAAAAAACGTAGATCTACTTTTGGAGCACTACGCATGTGAACGTAAATTTGTTTGGACAGTTTAAGTGTTAAAGCCAAGCTGAACATGCATTCTCTTCTTATCTTAGATAGACCTATATCCTAAGTACACCAGCACATTTAAGTCTGATGCTGTTTAGAATTTGCATTATCCAGATATCAGCGTTGAAAGGTTAAGCCAGTCTGATGCGGCACTCAATAATTAAAGCATAAAAATCAGTTTTATTTTTCCAGTTTTTTACATGATAAGAAGCAAATTGGGACCTACACAAGCCAAAAGCGATCAAATCTTTTCTCTAAGACTAAGAAAGCATGCATGTAACTAATTAAGTTTTATGTAGGATTTGATTACATAACATACTGGTCACAGACCGGGCCGCGGGGGCGTTGACCCCCGGAACTCTCTCTAGGTAAACTCCAGGTCTTGAAGGAACACAGGTATTATGTGAACATAAAAGTACATTATACAGATTTAACCTACGACAGCCTATTCAAAACTTGTGATTTATTTCTGATCAAAAGAAACATTCTTCAATTGTTTCACAGAAACCAGTTTGACCAATACAACTTCCACATTAAGACTTACACAACCTAAAATCAAGACGAAGTTTTCTTTGAGGGAAACGCGTCAGCACTATGAGTTGCAACATAACTAGTAGAGATGTTTAGTTATTGCACAGAATACTGCAAAATTTGAACCCCCTAAACGTTTCATCCTTTTAATTAAATGAATCAGCCATTACAAATACAGTTTAATTAGTGAAAGCACTAAACCTGCAGGGGTTACATAGTGCCTGTGGAATGAGAGGCATTGAGAGTCGATCCATGGAAGGTAAGGATATTCTCAATTCCTTGGATCAAGAGCCACTCACAAACATAAAGCAAAATAATGTGATAATGTAAAATAATTATGTACCATTTAGAGAATAAAAGCGGAGCTCCAAAAGTAACATCAACCTTCTAAGTACGACACACGAATATTGAAATTTTAAACCCAATTATAAGAGGCTTTCTAAAGTTACCACATGGAAACCAGTTTTATGAATGGTTATGTATAATTGAGCAGCAGGCACCTACATTTATCAACTGTTCTAGGAACCTTCATCTAGTAAGAGCTGACAAGGGTTGAAAATCTGAAGACGATTAGATAAGGCATTCTGAAGTTCTAAACGAGACTTGCAGGAAATTAGTAAAAATATGAACATTGTACTTAACACTGCGTTAGCTCAGTCATTAACTCATAACTTATTTAATTCTGCATATCAACCGCACACCGGCAGTCGAAAATACGTTACTCGGTCTATAAATACTGTGATATACTGTAATATATAGATAGAAGTGTATTTATCGCTTGTTTAGCATTATGATAAACATTTTAGCTCATTCTTACTCCTTTTAGTGTAAATCTCCATTAAGACAATGTACTGAAGCCCGACGATCCTTAGCTGAATGTGACATAATGATCGTGCCCGCTACAGTATGTAAGATGTGCCAATGGATTTAGTTTCCTCTTAAGTTTTATTTAGGTTTTAAACAGATGGTAAAGGCGACATCTAGATATTAAGAGTCAGTTTAATATCCTTATGATGCACCCCATTACCCATCCTGTACATAATGGTCCAGGGTCTGGGCCGTAAAGTCTTGATAACTAACAAGTTACAATATACCTGGAGAGGGCTTCAGGGGCCAACGCCCCCGCGGCTCGGTCAGTAACCAGGTCTCATGGTGGATCAGGGCCTGATCAACCAGGCTGCTGTTGTTGGCCGCATGTAAACAGACGTACGAACCACAGCCCGGCTAATCAGGTACTGACTTTAAGTGCTTATCCAAAGCCTTCTTGAAGACAGTCAGGGGTCTATTGGTAATCTCCCTTATGTGTGCTGGGAGGCAGTTGAACAGTGTTGGGCCCCAGACAATTATTGTGTTGTCTCTTATCGTGCTTGTGGCGCCCCTGCTTTTCATTGGGAGAATGTTGTATCGCCTGCCGAGTCTTTTGCTTTCATAGGGAGTGATTTTTCGTGTGCAAATTCGGTATTAATCCCTCTAGGATTTTCCAAGTGTATATAAGCATGAATCTCTCCCGCCTGCTTTCCGGGGATTACAGGTTGAAGAACTTCAACCGTCCCCAGTAACTTAGGTGTTTTACTCCGTTATGCGCGCCGTGAAGGTTCTCTGTACATTTTCTAGGTCACCAATTTCACCTGCCTTGAAAGGCGCTGTTAGTGTGCAGCAATATTCCAGCCTAGATAGAGAAGGCGACCTGAAGAGTCATCATGGGCTTGGCATCACTAGTTTTGAAGGTTCTCCTTATCCATCCTGGTATATCGTAATAGGCTGACCCATTACACAGTAGTGGTCGCATTTACGCTCTTCACACTACCATCACTTGGTCACCTGTACCCGGCCTTGGTTCTTACGATGGAAAGCGGCTTCGTTGTGAAAAAGGATGAGACTGCAGTTGTCTCGTGGCCTGTGAATTGTCATACTCACTGAGGTAATAGAATACAGTGGTGAGAATGTATGATAAGAGGTACCTAAACATACTCAGCAGCAGCTTGGTTCTTGTCCAACACTTTGCAAAATGTCTACGCCTGTCCACATAGTCAGAATTAGCAATGCTGAGCCTGGACACAGTAATATTGTTGATGTTATTTCTGTGGACTCTCGTGGTAGTTGCTTTCTGGGTTGTATTGTATCTCCAGCAGTGGTTCTTGTAGTTAAACACTGTCGTCGTGCGTCAGGTGTTGTAAATGGTAGTGTGCAGTGGCAGCGGCAGCAGCAACCTCCAAGCTCCGTACTTTTCTCCAACTATCAGAGCCACCAATGCTCCTATGATGACCTAGTTACAATCAAAACTGCACTACCCAACGTAGCACCCAGAATGACCAAAGATTACCAACAGTGAAACCTACAAATCGAAAATATTAGAGATCAAAGGAAGACTGCCCACAAACCGAAAGCAACACCCCGCTGCCAGCCGAACAACGTAACCCTAAGCTTTGTATAACTACAACTTTTCTCTAACTCACAACAATTACCTCTGTATATTATAGCTGCAATCTAGAGGAAACAGCACCAAGGCCAGCAACGAAAACACCGAAAAATCAACTATTCAACAATGTGAGTCAAGGTACCGCAACTCACTCACACTCAAGGCGACACCCACAATAACAACAAACATTGGCTGCACTAACATCAACTCCCCTCTATACCCGGATTCCCTCAAGGATGTTCCTTGATGTTGTGAGAGGCCTTGATTAAGGGAAAGGGTCTGTGCTCCAGATACCCGAATAACTTCGAATGCCTTCCACATGACGCACCCCCCCCAGGCGCTGTATAAATCTCCGGGTTTACGCGCTTCCCCCTTTTATCCCCTAAGAAGTAATAATCTTCCCGGACTTCAACCTAGCAAGTGTCTCTCAGGTATGACCAAAGTCCTGAATACCCCAAAGTACCATGATATCTCCAACTTAGTTATTGAAAATATGAATCTTCCTAGAGACACTAACCAATAGCCAGAGACACCAGGATGACACAAACTCGAGAACAAAAATCACTCAGTCACTGAACAAAAGTTATTAACACGGTTGCAGGGTCGAGTCACAGCTCCTGGCCCCGCCTCTTCGCTGATTGCTACTAGGCCCTCTCTCTCCCTGCTCCATGAGCTCTATCATACCTTGCCTTAATTAAAGCTATAGACTGTTCCCGTGTGTGTGTGTG